GGTTTCACCATGTTGACCAGGATGGTCTCGATCTCTTGACCTCGTGATCCACCCGCCTCGGCCTCCCAAAGTGCTGGGATTACAGGCTTGAGCCACCGCGCCCGGCCACTGATTTATTTTTTAAACACTCGTATGGTACTTACTATGTGCCAGACACTCTCTAAGCTCTTTACAAATATTAATTCATCGAATTCTGCTGTCAGCTTAGTGAAGTTGTCTTCATTTCACAGGTAAGTAATCTGAGGTTCAGAGAGGTTAAGTAAGTTCTCCCAGGTTTTACAGCTAATAAATGGTGAAACGAAGCAGTCTGATTTCAGAAGCTATTCTTACCCATTTTGCTATTATTATTCTCCTTATTGGTGAAACTCACTTTAGTAAAGAAAATAAATAGCAATATATCAATGTTCTTCTTGTACATACTATATGTGTAGAACCTGTCTACCTGGTTTCTGTTAGAAGAAAACCAAAAAAAGAAACTACTGCTCTGCCAGTCCAAATCAATAATCTTGCCCACCACAGACTTTCAGACAGCAACCACTAGAAATGGTTTGTGTGAGATGATGGTAGTTAACAGGGTCTAGCACAGTGCTAGAAACATAACAGGAACTCACTGAAGACCCTCCAAACTTCTTGGCTTCCTATTGAAGCTAGTTAGTAGCCTTGTATCATTAAGGAAGCAGATTGCCTCTGGTAAGCTTATGGATGTCTTAACGTGGAAGAACTATTGTCTTAGAAGAAAACTGTTTGAATCAAAATACCTCTTACCAGGGTATGGTAAGAATTGTTGTGGAAGAATTCCTTTCTTCAGAGGCATATATTGCTAGTTTCTAAATGAAGCTCTTATGAGGTAGATTGGCATAGTATTGTGGGAGTCAGGAGCCCAGGGTTTGCGCCCCAGCACTCAAATTGACTAGATTTTGTGAACCTGAGAATTTTACTTTAATTCTTTAGAGCTCAGTTTTCTTATTTGTAAAATGAAGAAATGTGACTACTTGATCTTTCAGAATTGTGTCTGCTGAAATTTTGATTCTGAGAACATATTTTCATGGTTAAAAGTAACTTTCCACACTATTCCAGTATTTTTCTTTGAGTACTTAAGTATTTATCATTCCAAACTGCTGTTTATCTGAGCAGTCCAAGTGCCTTGCTATTTGAGTGTGTCAGAAAGGAAACCAGAAAACTCAAGGTCTCTGTGACTCCTCTGTATATCAGAGTTGCAGATAACAGAGTGGTAGAATCATGCATGACAGAAAATAAATCCCAAAGACAAAAAGAGCTGCTTTCACAGAAAGGTACCTGGGGATGTCCCTATGAGCCCGGGGAGGGGCAGGGGGAGCAAGAGTTTATAAAAAGCCTGTTTGCTCCCCAAAGCAGAGATTCTTTAAAGGTAATTCACTGAGTTATTCTCTAACATCCATTGTCTTCCGGAGAATCTCCAGAAACACCAGGACACTCCCCATTCATAAGATAAACATCCATTGTTGAGACTGTAGATTTGGCCTGACACTTAACTTTCAGAATTTGAAAGGGGTCAAGAGAGCTAAATAAAGCATGTGGCTCTGTACATCAGAATTACTCAGAACCAATGTTACCTTATACAAAATAATTTTTGTTACAATTTGTTGACAGCCAAACTGTATTCTACCTCTGCCATCTTAACAAAACCAAAAGAAGGGTCAAGAATAAGTAACTGATAAAATGCAGGCTGTTTTTTGGCACAATTCTGTTACCTGAATGAACTGGTGCTGAATGTGCTACTGGCAGCAGCAGCTTTTTTCACTAATAAGAATAAGAATGATGTCTGTATATGGAGGGTTGGCTTAATTTTTTACAGAGTTTAACTTACATTAAGCCTGGATGGGTTTATTTGGAACCTCACTGGCTTTCTTAATCCTTGGGTGATGGTACCAATTATATGGTTGTAGTGATCATAAAAATACATGGGAAATGATTGGAGTTCCCAACTTCTATCTCTGCATCATCTGTCATCCTTTCTTCTGCCCCTGCCTTCTTTCTGTTTGGTATTCAGACAACAGTAGAAAGAAAAGCTGAGCACTATTGCTGTGGAAAGTGGGAGCAGTTTAGCCTGCAGTACTGCTTTGCTTGGCTGTCCTTCCCCCACAGAAACTCAGCCCCCTAGCCCACCCCCTCCTTGTCATTTCCCTGAAAGGATGTAGAAAAGCTGTCAAGGCAGGCAGTAGCCTGTCATCCTGCTTTCCACCTCCTCTCCCAAACCTGACACCCCTGTCAGTCTCTACCACCACCACCATTATCCAGCCCCCCTAACACACACACACAAAGAACAAAAATATTTTTGTGAAAACAGAGCTGTTGTATAATTCAGCATTATTTCATTAACTGCAGCTATTCTCAGTATAGTAGTTGGGGAAGCTCTAATACAAGACCGTATGTTCCTATCACTAAAAGTCTCAATGTAGTTAATTTGGATTTGACATTTGCCAGCAGCTGCCAAGCCCCCAAACAGCTGTTAAGTAAATAAATCCTACCCTCCCTACTCTGCTGATATCAGCAGTCTCTTTTGCCAGTTTGCTATGCACATTGACTACAGCCTACATATTAACTTTTATTTCTACTGTTGTCTGAATACCAAACAGAAAGTAAGGCATTCAGACAAAAAGGAGGGTATTTACAAAAGGAAATAGCTAGAAGACAGAGGGTATTTGGACAGTAATTACCCACAAAATCAAATACCAGGTAAAGGGGAGTAGAGTAGGGGGACGACGTGAACAGCAGAAATAATACGGTGACATGCAATCACTGAACTTCACCTCAACTGTGATTAAAAAAAAAAAAAGCTAACACATTTCTTTAATTTCTTTAGCCTTTTTTTATTGCCATCTCCCATACCCACCCCCCTGCAGTTATCCAGGATTCTATCCAGTGACCAAGAAATTTATTGCACCAGTTGAATGAAAGAAGTCTAAATTTACTCCTACTGGTAGGGAGTTAAATCAGGACTACTGTTTCCTATTCCTTCTTTTCAGTGGCTATTGGCCATCAAATAACAACTTCAAATATTTACTTTGGTATCCATTTTTAGAGTATGACTTTATTCATAAATGTAGTCTATAATTTCTAATATATTTTCTAAATAATAAGAACAAATTGAATCTAAAAAATCTTAAACAGTTTTATTGAGCTGTAATTCACATACCATGTAATTCACCCATTTAAAGTGTTCAAGTCAGTATTTTTAGTATAATTCACAGGGTTGTACAGCAATCATCATAATCAAACTTTAGGCCATTTTCATCTCCCTAAAAGAAACTCATGCCTGTTAGCAGTCAATCCCCATTCTCCTCTTAACCCTCTTATTTCCAGCCCTAGGTTACCACTAATTTATTTTCTGTCTCTATGGATTTTCCTAATCAGGGCATTTTATGTAAATAAAATCAAACAAATATGGTTTTTTTTTTTTTTTTAACTGACTTCTTTGATTTAGCATAACATTTTCAAGGGTTATCCCCATTCTCGCATGTATCGGTATCTCATTTCTTTTTATTGTCGGGTTGTTTTATTGTTGACTATTGTCTATTGAATGGATATACTGTGTTTTATCTGTTCATCAGTTGGTGGGTATTTAGGTTGTTTCCACTTTGGGGTACTATGAATCACTCTTCTATGAACATTTTTGTACAAGTTTTTGGGTGGAATGTGTTTTTATTTTTCTTAGATATATACTTAGGAGCGGAATTGTTAGATCATAGAACAAATAGAATTCAGCCATTTTTCCTTTAAAGTTTTATGATTATCTGATGCAAACATCTAAATCTTTTTAATACAGATGTGGATGCCAACAGAGAGCTGCCACTCACACAGCCACCTTCAGCTCACTCATCTATCACCAGTGGAAGCTGCCCAGGAACCCCAGAAATGCGCAGGCGGCAGGAGGAAGCAATGCGAAGACTAGCCTCACAGGTACAATATGATTCCCAAGTTGGGGACGTGATAGTTCCATTTTAATATCAAGGAAGCAAAGATAGGGAGATCTTTGGCAAAGTGAACAAAAATGCATAAAGGTGTACCATGAGAACATGGAGAAAAGTTTCTCTTTCTTTGCTATTCCTAGAAGAAAACTTTATTATGATGGGATCAGAACCTTAGAGTTGGAAAGACGCTTAGAAATAAAGTCTTCTAGTGAATAAATAAAAAAGTCGAGAACCGACGAAGTGGGTTGGTTGGTTGGTTGGTTGGTTTTGAGACAGAGTTTTGCTCTGTTTCCCAGGCTAGAGTGCAATGGTGCAACCTCGGCTCACTGCAACCTCTGCTTCCCAGATTCAAATGATTATCATTCCTCAGCTTCCCAAGTAGCTGTAGCTGGGACTACAGGTGCATGCCACCATGCCAGACTAATTTTTATATTTTTAGTAGAGACGTGTTTTTGCCATGTTGGCTAGACTTCTCTCAAACCCCTTACCTCAGGTGATCCGCCCGCCTCAGCCTCCCAGAGTGCTGGGATTACAGGCCTGAGCCACTGCACCCAACCAGTTGTGATATGTTTTACCCAACATGAGGGTATAAGTAATCAACAGTTTTTAATTTTTATAGCTTAAAACTCTTATACTACATTGTCCATAATATTTTTTATAAATTTGGGTTTGAAATTTCTATTTTTCTCAAAGTAAGCACATAGAAAAATAATGCTCAAAACCAGCAATTCTCTTCCTCTACCCCTGCCATCTTCTCTCCACAGGTAGCCATTTTCACCTCTTAAAGAAGTTTCTCTGATTTTCACCTCCATATTTCTAAATACTACTCGTATACTGCTAAAATTTTTATTAGTTTACAAATTATCTATTGCTTCTTATTATGGATGATGGGAATTACAGCTCTTTCACCTTCCTTCTGCCCACTACCAGCCCAATACAATTATTGCATGATTTTTGGCTGAATCCATATTATAGTATTTTCATTATTAATACTATGTAAATATGTCACCCTGGAGCCAAGGATAACATTTCCTTCTTGAACAATTTTGTTTTTCCTTGGGGTTTATGAAATGCCTCATTTTTAAATTTGCTTATTTTACTTCAAACCTTTGGCTAAGTCATTTCATAACCCTTAATGTAGCTTCATAAAACATCTCTCAATACAGTTTTCCACACTTACCAGTTACTTTTTTTTACCGGGGAGGCCTTTGTCCTCCATCTAGAGCCCTCCAGGGAGCTCAGTCTGGACCAGTGAAGCTCTGAAAGCTTACCACCTTGTTCTCCTGGGAGTTCCTGTCACTTGCCTTTTGTGTTTCATCTCATGTCATATTCTTTCCCAATTTTATTCTTCATTTTAGTGGAGCATATCCTCCAGTAGCTTCCTAACCAAAAATGCATAAGACATAAAGTTTTTGAGACTTACTATTTCAAAAAGCATCATTATTCTATGTTCATGCTTGCTTATTTGTGTGACACAGTATTATCATTCTAGGGTAAAAATTATTTTTTCTCAGTTTTGAAGGCATTGCTCCTTCCAATATTGCTATTAAATACTCTGATACTATTCTTATTCCTAATCCTTCATATATACCTTGTTTTCTCTCCAAAAGCTTTCAAAATCTTCTTTTTATCACCCTTCTTGGGTCTTTTTCATTTATTCTGTTGGTACCTAGCAGGCTCTGGAGATATTCTTTAATTCAGAGTAATGCATTTGTATTATTTATGATAATTTCCTATATTTTCTCCTTCTACAATTCTATTAATCAAAAGTTAGATTTCCAGCTGGGCACAGTGGCTTTTGCCTATAATCCCAGCACTTTGAGAAGCCAAGGTGGATAGATCATCTGAGGTCAGGAGTTTGAGACCAGTCTGACCAACATGGCGAAGCCCCATCTCAAATATACAAATATACAAAAATTAGCCAGGCATGGTGACACGTGCCTGTAGTCCAAGCTACTCAGGAGGCTGAGGCAGGAGAATCGCTTGAACCCAGGAGGCAAAGGTTGCAGTAAGCCAAGATTATGCCACTGTACTTCAGTCTGGGCAACAGAGTAAGACTGTCCCAAAAAAAAAAAAAATTAGATTTCCTATACTGATAGGATAGTCCTCATTTTCTTAATCTTTCTCTTCTGTTTTCTGTACTTTTGTTTTTTGGCTTTTTTTTTTTTTAGTGAGCAATTTGGAAACAGAAATTCACTATTTATTCAATACATGAAAATGATCCAGCATGGTTAAACACATTACACATTTTACATTTTCTTACTGGAAGTGAAACATCCACATTTACATAATTGCCCAAAGTTATGTTGTATGTTAAGATGGAAAATTTATAATAAATATCTAAAATGCTCTATCATCATATAATGGTTTTAATGGTTCAACAATTGGGAATGATAAAGTCCTTCTATGAGCAACTTTTAGAAGAATGTCTGCTTAGAACACATTCTCATATATGAAATTAGCTTTCTAGTTGCCCAAGGATATTTATTATGTGTTTGTTTTGGTCCTAGTTTTAATATTAGAGCTATGATATAGACTTTACTAAAACACACATGCACACACACACTCTCTCCATCAAAGTTGGAACAAATTATGCTCAGTCTTATTGGTAACAAGTTCCCTTCATCCATCTTTTCAAAATTAAAGTTTATTAAAAAGGAGGATATTTAAAATTACCTGTTTTTTGGCTTTTTAATCCACCTTTGAGAGATTTTGTCAACATTACTTTGCAGTCCTTTTACAAAAAGTTTTATTTCAGCTCTCATAGTTTTAATTTCTAATAGTTGTTTCTTTTTCTCCGGTGTCTCCTCTTTTTTTTAGCATCCTGTTCTTGTTTTATGGATGCAATGTATTATTTACTTAGGCACTGAAAAACTGATTAGAAGCTTGTGTGTGTAGAGAGCTTGACTATAGAACATTGAGATAATCCACCTTTTTTGGAAATCCCAAAAGAAAGTCAGTATTTCTAAGATTTTTCCTGGGCTGTTCATATTCTCTAGCAAAGAATCCTCCAGTGTTCTGACTGGAGGGTATATGTCTTGGATGCCAGCATTTTAGAGCTGGGCAGGAAAAGGGGGCTGGAGTTTCACTGTTCGATATCGGATATTGTTTTCAGCCCTGCACCTGATCTCTACCTTGCTCAATGTGTGGTGTCCCTAAGTCTAGATTATCTCTTGTTTATTTTCTCTAGTTCTCTTTCCTGTGGTTGTTGGGGAAGATAGTCACCTGGCTGGGCAGGGCAGGGATGGGAATCTGGGGATCTAACTTCTTCTTAAATAAACTTCAAATAAACTCTGTGTTTTCAGGTCCCTTCTTCACCCTCCTCTTCCACAGTACCTAGTGCTTCCAGTTTCTAAGCTTTGCTGAAGTTTTATAGATGATCTATAATATTGTAAGGTGCTAATTTCTTCATAAAAACACAGTCCAGCTCCAAGCCAGATGCAGCATATTTTCTCAGACACATTATTGATTATCCCAACTCATTAGTACACCCTCATCTGTAAATTGGCTTCTGCAAAGTCTGAGATTTCCCTCAATTCATTGCTAAGTCATTGTAACTTTAAAAGACCTCTCTGTTTTTTCCTAAATATCCCCTGTGTAAATGGGCTCTAGGCTCTTCTTTAGAACAGTTAGACCAAATATCTATCTTAGAAATAGACAAATGTTGAAGTGCTTCCAGCACTTTAATTATTCACTTTAGGTACACATTTGGAGGACCTATAATCCAGGACTGAGGATAAATCAGTGAACAAAACAGACACAATTCCTGCTGTTACATAGCCCACATTCTCACGAGAGAAAGACAATAAACAAATAAATATGTAATATGTCAGACGGTGATAAGTGCTAAGATCACAGAGAATTAATTCTCCTCACTTTGTTACATCTTATTCTTTCTCTCATCAAGAGGAGAAGTCCCAGGATGTTCATGTTCAATATTTGGAAAATGTTACATGTCATAAGTAGGAAATGAGTCACTGTTTATACTTATTTGAGGAGTGATTACATGTTAAATTTTATGATTGTGTCTTCCTTAGACAAAGCATAAATTAACCTGTTTGCACCTAGAGATGGAATACTGTTCAGCTTATACCATTGTATCAGAAGTGGCCACTTAGCTTAAAACTGAATGTTATCCCAGTTATTTTACCACATGTTACAGTTCAGCTACACAAAAGTGTTCTGTGGAAGCATGGAGCAGAAGCCCAAAATCTTGCTTCTCACCCAAAACAAACCAGTAAGCAGAAATGATCCTTTAAATAGGATTTTCAGATTAATGTTTTGATGAGGTAGACTAATACAAAAAAATTTAAAGTGTCCTTGAAAAATCTCTTAATTTGACGAATTCTTGGTGTCAATTCTTGTATATCAGTAATTATCATTGGTATTTCATAATATTCTTGCTCTTTCCTGTGCTTCTAGTTGACTGAGAACACTGGAGAGCTTTTGTCACAACTTTAGAACTATTTTATTTATTGAGGAAATACTTTCCATTTGAAGCAACAGATTTTGGTAGGTTGGCATCTCTCGAGCGTGTCTCCACTTAACATTGCATATTTCTTCTAAAGTATAACCACAGGAGAGGGGCAGGGAGATATCATTCAGGGCCTTTCCTGGGTATGTGAATTTAACTCCAACAGTGGTTTCTCTAGGCTTTAAATCTCTTGCACCCCTGTAGTAAAGAATTCACAAGACGAGGAGAAGTTGGCTTCCCTTTACAGGAGGCTTAATGTGTATTGTGGCTTAGTGCTATTTACGTTATATTTGCTGTATCATTTCCTATTTTTACCCTAACCCTATGAGGTACATCATTATTTCATTTTACAGGTGAAGAAACAGTTGCTTCAGTGATTAATGTTTTCAAAGTCATACTGTTAATAAATGACCAAGCAAGGATTCAGAGTCAGTACCCTCCCCTATGAAGTGAATACTATGGTTATCCCCATTTTACAAATGAGGAAACAGTGGCTTTGAGGTTAAATAACTGCT